TATATATATATATGAGTCTAATCAAATGAGAACTAGATAGTTTGTGGTAACTATGAAGTCCAATATGAGCCAATCATTTTGAATAGTTAATGTTATTTACTAAAATAAAACAAAGGGTAAATTGGTAAATATATATTATAAAAACACAAGAAAGATTTGGAGAAATTGAGGAGACATAAATAGTGGAGAAAGTTGGATTTCTTGATTATAAAACATATATGTATAACCCTTATTTATAGTTATGTCTTGATTCATCTCAACAGACTCGTAACATAACCCTTGTTATCTCATTGGAAACTTCATGAAATTGAGGAAAAACGAAAAGCATCAAGGCTCTTTTTTATTGGCATCCAAGTTAATATAACCTGCAAATTGTTGAAACCCGATTTGACTTAGGATTTGGTTTCTGTTTTTACCTTCCTGTTCATTGAAAGATTTGGGTCTTCAACATTATGAATTTCATCGGTCGATGGATTGCAAAAGGGAAAGGGGTGTCAAAGATCTCTCTCTCTCTCTCTCTATTTACTTGGGATCATGTGAGACAAATGGTTTTTTATGAGATCCGTAAGACCAATTCAACTCTTGGATTAGATCTACAATCTGAACATTCACAATCACAAAATTGTCACAAGACTTCTCAATAATCACAACAACATCATATGCAGAGGGGTGAAAAACAAAATGAATTACAAACTAGGGGTAGGGTGACCAAAAAAGCAAGTTTTTAAAGACCATGGATGAAGTTCGTTATAAACAACATACCACAAAGACTAAAATCATAGTTTACTCTTAATATTTTAAATCAACTTTATTTTTTAGAGCATCTCAAATGGTTTTTTGTAATTTTTCTAAAATAAATAATTAAAACATAAATTTTCTAAAAATAATAAATTCATTTCCATGAGATTATTTATTTTAGAGATTTTAATATAAATTATATTATTATTATTATAATATTTTCTAATTTATTATCTTAATACGTTTTTTGAAAAAACTTTTTATAAAAAATAATAACTCAATCTCATTGGTAAAATTGAATAAAATTACCATTTCTCAAAACCTTCATTTACATTCATATTTCTTCAATTACCTTTATTTGCCTATTTTTATCGTTATGGTCACAACTTTAACAAAATGCATCTGAAAATGATTAAATGTATATAAAAGTTCGTGTAAGGGTCCTTTTACCAAACATTCATTCGGTAAGTGCTTATCAGTAAAATTTAACACTATTATTTACTTCTCGGGTTGGATTTTAGTTCACCAAAACAACATCATATGCAACAATTTATCCGGTAAACGCTTATCATGGTAAGAGTCGTCGCCCTCACTTACCGGGTAAGACTTTTGGTCTTTGTCTCGCTCTTACCAAGTAAGATTCTTTGTTCTTATCATATTAATCCAGTGAGGTAGTGTGACTTGATAAGAGCTTACCCAAGTAAGCGTTTGATAAACGACCCCCTAAGTGACTAAAAATGAAAATAAAGGTAGTGGAAGGAAAATATAAAGTTAATGAACTTTTTAACGGTTTTTGTACTGCGTATGTTACGAGGACTACGGCTGAACTTTGACAATAACTAATTTTCAATTCCAAAAAAGGAAAAACTAAAAGTCAAGGGACTAAAATGAAAGTTAGGCATAAGTACATGGACCATTCGATAAATACACCATAATTTATCTGCTTTATACTCTATACCTTTTAGCAGTGAAGAAAAATCGGACACAAAGACGGTCCTCTGAGAGCAGAAGGGCGCCATTTTTGCCGACCAAGGTTTGATACACTCTTACTCTCGTATCATTTTCCTCTTTCTCTTCAGGTTTTATATTGAATGAATATAGTTTAGGGTTTCCAGTAAAAGTTTTACTTTGATTTCTGTTGAATCTGTCGAACTTAGAATCGCTAAAATGGATGGAAAATTGATACGGGATCGTTTTATCTGTCGAAATTTCTATAACAGTTAACACAATTTGTTTGAAAAGTAGTTGAATCTGTATCGATTTTTCGAAACAGATGGAATGATTTTCTTGTTGTTCTCGCAAATCATAACTGTGGTGAATGCATAGCTTGACATCTGAGTCGAGTTGCCATGAATATGTATATGATATCGGGTTATTTGAACCCGAGGCAGGTAAGATGAAGGGCATTTGAAGGCCAAGCTCCTAATTGAAAACTCATTTAAAGTCGTGCATTCAAAAGACCCTATTCTAAATAGTGTTATAAAAAGCTCGCTGTAGCAGCTGTCACTCAAGGCTTGTGTCTAATGTATGCATGATTTCTGTAACGCTGTATTTGATTTTTCTTATCTTTTTAATGTCTTACTTGTTAGTTTTAGTTATATACTCTAGTTTAAATTCTTTAGTATGCTCATTGAGTAATAGTAGAAAACATATATAGGATTGGGTTCACGTGAGACCAAAGGTTTTTCGTGAGACCTGTAAGACCAATTTATGTTTATTGATTAACTTCATAAGTTAATGATCTAACGGTCTAAATTGTACGGTGGCAATTTTGTGATTATTGATAAATCTCGTGACGTTTGTGAATGTTTAGATTTTCAGATTATAGATCTAATCCAAGGGTTGAGAATTGGTCTTACGGGTCTCACGAAAAACCATTGGTCTCATATGATCCCAAGTCTATATATATATATATATATATATAGAGAGAGAGAGAGAGAGAGAGAGAGAGATAGATAGATTGTTTCAAATACAACACATCGTATTTGTACAACCAATGCAACTCAATAAATTGAGATATTTATGGAAATGATGAGAGTTCATTTATTATGATTTAAATATTTATGGAAGATGAATATGGTTCATTAATTATGATCAATATTTTATATTATGAAACAATCAAAACTTATATGAAATCACATATTTTAATCAAATGAAATGGACGGCTGAGATTGAGTTGTATTGGTTGCACAAATGTCAAAGGTTGTATAATAACCAACCAATATATATATATATATATATATATATATATATAGGGGACTAATCAAATAAGAACCAATTAGTTTGTGGTAATCGTGAGATCCAATCTCAACCACAAATCAATAGATAAATTAGAAAATTTATAGTTTTGGTAATTTTGAATTAAAATTTTAATGCAAGTACATTTTAGGTATTTTAAAACTCTCCTCTCTTCTCTCCCCATCCTCCGGCCACCGTCCTCCGGTGATACCATAATGGTATCACAATGCATCATATATGTGCTTGGGTATCACACTGAGGTCGTTTATGTGGTCGATTGGAGATGTAACACAGTGATATCACAATGCATCTTATATATGCTTGGGTATCACATTGTGTCTTTTGTTTAACAAAGTCAATATTTTTAGGTATCACAGTGGTATCACTGGAGGACGGTGGTCGAAGGACGGAGGATGGTGGCTGGAGGACGGAGAGAGGAGAGAATATACCTAAAATGTCCTTGCATTAAAATTTTAATTCAAAATTACCAAAATTATAAATTTCCTAATTTATCTATTGATTTGTGGTTGAGATTGGATCTCACGGTTACCACAAACTAGTCAGTTCTTCCTTGAATGGGCCCATATATAATATGAGTCTAATCAAATGAGAACTAGATAGTTTGTGGTAACTATGAAGTCCAATATGAGCCAATCATTTTGAATAATTAATGTTATTTACTAAAATAAAACAAAGGGTAAATTGGTAAATATATATTATAAAAACACAAGAATCAAAACCTAAATCCTTTCATCTTCTTCCAAAAACTACAGCATCGCCTTCACGTCTCTATATCCCAATCTTCACTATTCTCAAGAAATCCAAACCATCTTCTCCGTAACCTATCTCATAATCTCAGCACCCTAGTGAATCCACGAAAACCCTCTTCTCAATTACCTTCAAAACAAACAAAAATCAAAGAAAGATCACAGATCGTAGACTATTTCAAACGTGCGAGGACATATGAAGAAATGATCAAAGCATTTGAATCCATGGATGCTTCTTTCGATCACCATGAACTTGACTTAGCTTCCTGTAAATCGGACTCAAACTCGATGAAGAAGGTGAGTATCCAGAAAAAGTTTTCGATTACGCCAATAAATCTTTAAAAATCTTGGATGAAATCAACAATGATTCGTCTTTACCACTTGCTATGAACTTACAATTGTTGGGTCCTGCTTGTTATAACTTAAATAGGTTTAATGAAAGTTTAGGGTATCTTAATAGAGCCAATAGGATATCAGGGAAACTAAAGGAAACTATATCTGATAATGATTTCAATATTTGATAACATGTAAGGTGCAAGAATCGGTGCCGTATTTGGAAGATGCAACTGAAAGATTAAAGGAAAATTTTGGTTCTAAGCATTTTGGAGTTGGATATGTGTATAAAAAATTTGCGTACAACATATCTTGTTGGGTAATTGCGGATATCCATTGATGTCCGTCCAAACTGTATAAAAACCTTGGTGAAAGATCATCATAACTCTTCCATGATGTCAAGTTCCTGTGTGTTTTCGAAAGAGAAGGTTGAATCGATCATCAGAAGAAGAATTAGGCCAAAAATTAGGATATATTATGGGAAAATCAAATTTCCATCAAAGAAAAATATATGCGTCAAAATACTGAAAAAAACGTTGTTTTTATAAATATATGCGTCAAAATGTATCTTTTATAATAAAAGGTCAGGTAATTTTATAATTTTAATAATCTTTTAAAATGTTCTCAAATCTTTCCTTTCCTTCATTTTTCTCCTATGTTTCAAAATGAAGGTTTTATGACGAAATTCATGTTTTTTTTCTTTTTTAAAGAAGTTTCAAAAACATGAGTTTCGTTATAATGGTTCACGAAATCATTTATGGTTTTTTTTTTTCTTTTTGGGTGAACTGACGGTTTTTTTTTAAGCTATTAACTAAAATAGTCATTTAAGATGTTGGTTTTATCTTTTAGGTGTCGTTTACCCAAATGCTTACTCAATAAGTGTTTACCATTAGAAATCGACATTATAATTTATTTTATCGGATAAGATTGTAGTTTATTAAAACGATATCCTATGCAACAATTTACCCGGTAAGCGCTTAACTGGGTAAGAGTCGTCACCCTCACTTACCGGGTAGAACTTTCCATCCTTATCGTTGTTCTTACCAGGTAAGATTCTTGGTCATTGCCATGTTAATCCGGTGAGGAAAATTGCTCGGTAAGCACTTGCCGGGTAAGCGTTTAGTAAACAGTCTCTTAGTCATTTCTCTCCTAAAATCATCAAAATATCACTAGCTCCGTAAATGACAAGTTCGTAATTTGTGGAGGGGTTAAAGTGTAAAAAAAGTTTTTATTTTACAGATTCCTGTTCATAAACTTCTCTTTTTATATTTTAACCCCTTCATAAATTATGGATATGTCACTCATAAATCTAATGACATTTTGATGATTTTAGATGAGAAATGACAGTGAAACCGTAATAAAAAATGGTTAATTTAATTTATATTTTTTTTTCTGTCTTCAAAAACAATATAGTTTTTCGATTTTTTTGTTTCTTTTGTTGTTTTTCACTCTTTTAGAAAAACATGTGGAGATGCTTCTGAAATCTCTCCAATGGTAATTCTCATCAGTACAGTTCTAATGGAAGAGTGGAGATAATCTCATTCACAAAATTCTCTCTAATGGAAGAAAACTGGGGCGAAGACTTTGAATCAACTGTCGATGATTCTGACATGCCTACAAGTACAACCACAAACTTGCATTTACTCTTCACTTATTTTCTCATCAATTTCAACTTAACCAACCACAATTCTCGATTTCACATAGCAGCAGGTGCAGGTCATGTTGGAGCTCAATTTAGGGTTCCGCTTTTCAGCGTTTCTGCTTCTGTTGACCTCAATCGATTTCTGTTCGTTAGTTCAATCTAGATGCAACAGAGGTTGCGATTTAGCACTTGGTTCCTACTACGTTGAATCAGGAAACAATCTATCTTCAGTTTCCCAATATACGATCAACGATATCGACACTATTGCTAGGTATAATCGTGATATTATCCATATTCGGGATAGTCTTCCGTCCTTTAACAGGCTAAACATTCCCTTCTCTTGCGACTGTATCGCCGGGGAGTTCTTAGGCCATGTCTTCAACTACGAGATCCAGTCTGGAGATACGTATGATGTGATTGCGGAACTGAGATATGCGAATTTGACGACTGCGGACTGGATTGGGAGGTTTAATACTTATGATCCAAACGTTATACCTGTTAATGCTCCTCTAAACGTGACGGTAAATTGTTCGTGTGGGGATGATTCAGTTTCAAGGGAGTATGGTTTGTTCGTGACGTACCCTCTTCGGCAAGGGGAGACTTTGAATTCTGTTTCGTCGGCGGCGAATCTTAGCTCCGACTTAGTTCGGAGGTATAATCCCGATGTCAATTTTGGTGCAGGAAGGGGTTTGGTATATATTCCGGGGCCAGGTTAGTATTACCTTTCCTGCATTAATGGAGTTCTTGTTTTTTACAGTCACTTGTTTTGATGACGCGTCCTTGTTTATTTCATATATAGTCATGCTTTGGCGGTATCGATATAAATATCTATAAAACCTTGTAAACTAGATTTATCAAATGTTTTAAAAATAATTTTTAATCTATAAAGTACAATACATTTATTTACAAAGTCTTAAAAGTCTTAATCTATATTTATACTAAATTATAAACTAGATTTAACAAAAAGTCTTAAAAACAATTTTTAATGCATAAAGTACTATACATTTATGTATAAAGTCTTAAAAACAACTCATAATGCATTAAGTACTATTAATTTATGCATCCAGTCTTAAAATTCTTAATCTACAATTAAAAAAACATATAATACAAGTTACCAATGTACATTATTATTTTTTCTTTTCATGTTTCCAAGATACTTTTGACACCTTTTACTCATGTCTTCACCCTCTCATACCTCTATATCTTTTCCCCATCCCCAAGGTGAGATTCAAACTGATATTCACCATGAGTTATTAAAAGTTCTCCATTCAATTGCTCTATAACTCTCGCTCTCAATCTCTTGATTCTTTGCTCTTGGTGTAAATCGAACACATTTATGGAGTCGTTTAAATATGTTGGATTTTAAATATATTGGATTTTAAACTGCCATGCAATTTTTTTCATCGATAGACTGTAATTGGAACCATTAACTCTTGTTTATTCAAATTGTATTAATATGTAAATGCCAAGTGTAACTTATATCATCGATAAATCTTCTCTAATAAAACCAGTGAAACTTCAAATCGTTAAAATTCATGGCTCCAGCCGCATTGCACATGTATACAACTAGTAAATAAATAAATAAGATTGTAAGGTTGAAGAAAACATTAAACCAAAGCATTCATTTCACATTTACAACAATTACAAAAGAACATAAGACGAAAAACCCTAGATTTGGAAAATGGTTAGCTACATCTAAGAACGAAAGAAAGAACTAGAGAGATCGTCAAAATGAATGAATTATGAAAACCGAACAAAAAAATAGCCTATATATATATATATATATATATTATTTAGGAAATTGCAAAAATGGTCCTCAAAGTTTGATAATAGTTGCTCTGCTACCCTCCAAGATCTTCAAAATGTGAGGCGCGGTCCTTCTACTTCAGATTACCAACTTCAAGACCTTGACAGCTTCAACCCCTCAAGAAAGCAATTCTGTGAAGGATACAACAGAAGTTAAGATTGTTAAAAACACATCATTTTTAACACCTTCCCTCAATCTTGGCGTTTGAATAAATCAATCATTCGTAACTTTGAACACAAGAAGTTATAACGATTAACAACAAGAGCCTTTGTGAAGATATCAACAGGTTGTTCAGAAGAAAGAATTTTTACAATTTTTAACAAACCTTTACTAACGTTTTCCTGAATTTGATGAATATAATTTCATCGTGTTTAGTAAGTTCGTGAAAAACAGGATTTTTGGCTATTTGAATACCAAATTTATTATCACAGTACAGGCATACAGGTAGTAAATCAGAAACATTTAGATCTGTGAGAATTTTTAGAACCCATAAGACCTCCAAGCAGCAAAAGGCATGACTCTATATTCAGATTCTGCAGAAGAACGAGAAACAGTACTTTGTTTCTTGCTCTTCCAAGAAATCATGGAATTTCCCAGAAATAAACAAAACCCAGTTATAGAACGTCTAGAAGAAAGACACTTACCCCAATCGGCATCAACAAAAGCAGTTAAACAAAATTTTTCTGACCTAGTGAAGCTAACACCTTTACCTGGAGATAATTTTAAGTACTTGAGAATTCTAAGAACAAGATTTAGATGAGATTGTCTAGGAGAATGCATAAACTGACTAAGACGATGTATAACAAAGGCAATATATGGTCTAGTAGCAAGCAGATAAACCAGTCTTCCAATTAACTTTGATAACCAATATGATTAGATAAAGGAGGATCTTTGTACTACTAATTCTTAGTTACAATCAAGTTCATATCCATGGGTGTATTACAAGGTTTACACCCTAAGTAGCCAAAGTCATTAAGCAACTCTAAACAATACTTTCTCTGAGACATGCAAATCCCATTTACACAATCTAAAATTTCAATTGCCATAAAGAATTTTAATCTTCCTAAATCTTTTATAAGAAACTTGCTTTTCAAAAAATCTTTTACTTTATCAATTTCAAACTGACTATTTCCAGTAATAACAATATCATCTACATAAACCAATAAGATAAGAAAAATATATTCAACTTTCTTTGTAAACAAGGAATAATCGCTAATACTTTGAATAAAGCCAGTTCAATTAACACGAAAAAGCTTAGCATACCACTGACGTGGAGATTGCTTTAAACCATATAAACACTTAACAAGTTAACACACATGTTTATCTTTAGAATTATAGTAACCCTCAGGTAATGTCATGTAAACTTCTTCAATTAAATCTCCATATAGGAAAGCATTATTAACATCTAATTGAAACAAATTCCACTTGTTCTGAACAACTAAGGATATAATGCAATGCACAATTACCATTTTAACAACAGGTGAGAAGGTTTCTTCGTAATCGAGACCTTCGATTTAACTACACCCTTTAGTCACTAGCCTAGCTTTGTACCTTTCTATTTTCCCAATGGACTTATATTTTATCTTATAAATCCATTTGCAACCTATATGTTTTCTACCCTCAGGCAAGTCTGTTATAATCCAAGTACCATTTCTATGTAAAGCTTCCATTTCATCATTCATAGCATTTATCCAGTTAACATCACTACAAGCTCCTTGAAAACTTTTAGGTTCAACAGACTTGTTTAGATTAGATACGAAACACAGAATTTCAGACGAAGATAAGAATAATTAACAAATTTTTTTAATTCGTATTTAACTTTTCCTTCAATAACAAAGTCATCAAATTTTTGTGGAAACATAGAAACTCTAATAGACTTTCTAGTAGGTTGGGTAGAAGAAGAAGGTATACTAAGAGTACCCTCAGAAATGAGACTTGAGGAATGAGTTTCATCATTTTGTTGAGTACTGGCAGCCACATCAGAGCTACTCAAGAGTTGCCATCTGGTAACTTTTTCAAGGTTATTTTCAACTTGAGTTGAAGAACCTTGGTTAATTGATTCATTTGAGCTGCCTAGAGGCTCCTCATTGGCAGCTCTAGTTGGGCTACCTAGCAAACTTATTAGGGGCAGAAACAGACTGATGAATATTTTCATCAGTGGAATGGTCTCCATTCTCATCACTGGGCGGCGAATCCACAAACTCATTAAATGAACTACTCATAAAATCAAAGAAGTTTAATCTGTTAACATCATCATGACTGGAATCACCAATCCTGTTCGTCCTCATCTTAAATGGAAAAATATTTTCATAAAACTTGACATCTCGAGAAACAACATATTTCTTAGATTCCAAACTAAAAAGTTTGTATCCTTTCTTTGAATAGCATACCCTAATAAAATACACTTTTCAGATTTGGGTGAAAATTTATCTATAATGTTACGTATGATAGAAAAGCACAGACACCCAAAATTTCTAAGATGAGTAAGGACAGGTTGGAATCCATAAACTAAACTCATAAGGACACTTACCATTTAACATAGAGAATGGAGTCCTATTTATTAAGTAGGTGGAAGTAAGAATGCACTCACTCCACATATTTAAAGGAACCCCTCCCTGAAACATAAGAGCCCTAGCAACATTTAGCAAGTGTCGATGTTTTCGTTCAACAACCCCATTCTGTTGGGGAGTATAAACACAAGAGGTCTGATGTATAGTTCCTTTAGTTTAAAAAACTCACTCAGTCTTTGACTCGTAAATTTAGAACCATTATCACTTCTAAAATTTTTAACACACTTTCCAAATTGGGTACTGAGCAAATTATAAAAGGTGATGATATTTTCTCCGACCTCATGTTTACCTTTTAATAAAAAGCCCAAACAGCACGGGTAAAATCATCAACAATTGTGAGAAAATATTTATAACCTTCCCTACTTTGAACACGATAAGGTCCCCAAACATCCAAGTGAACAAGTTCACCTAGATCTTTGAATTTATGAATACTTGAATCAAACTTCTCCGAAGTTTGTTTTGCCTTATGACAAATTTCACAAGACCCACAGTCCTCATTATCAATTTTAAGACAATCCTTCAACACTTTTAAAACTTGGTCAGCAGGATGACTAAGACGACTGTGCCATAATTGGGCAGAAGCTAAGCAAGATATATTAGAATCATGAGAAGTATGCAAAGCACAGGAAGACTCACTGTTAAAATTTTGATCAAAATAATACAGACCCCCTTCTTGACTACCAGTTCCCACTACATTCCTTCGTAGTGAATCCTGGACATAACATTTTGACTCATCAAATCCTACAAACACTTTGTTATCCTTAGCAAGTTTGTGAACAGATAACATGACATTGAAATATGGAACAACCAACACATCAAAACAAAGTTACATTATTTGATAACTTGAAATCCCCAATTTTATTTATTTTAGCTTTTGTTCCATTTGGATGACTTACTCTAAGATCAAGCTCAGAAACATCAACTACGTTATTAAGAAAAACAGTATTACGAGTCATGTGTTGATTTGTACTAAAGTCAATAATCCATCCAGATCTAAGAGATTCAAAGATACCTACCATATTAGCAGTAGCACCTTCAGATGAATGTTTTTGCTCAGTTAATCCAAGGATGTTAGCAATAGCAATCTGGTCTTCAAAAAAGGGAAAAAAAAGGAATGGGACTCAACAATTTTAGTAGGATTTGACTTAGAAACACATACATCTGAAGGTATTTGGGAATCCTATGAGTTTAAAACACCTTTCAATAGTATGTCTAGTAGCTCCACAGTGCTTACAATTCAGGGTAGAATTTCTACTAAACGACGTTTGTTATCAATGGTCTTGCTAAAGAAGGCAATATTTTGAGGTTTAGATCGAGACCGAGAAAAATTCCCCCTATGTGAGACCCTTCTCTTGAGACAAGAGAAAAGACAGTTTTCACAGAGGGAAGGGGATCCCTAGTGAGAATGTTGCTTCTAATGGGTTGATATATATCATCAAAACCCATTAGAAACTGCATGAGCTTGATCAGTTGAGTATGTTCAAAAAAATCTTGAGATGCATTACAGGTGCATGAGGGAAGTTTAACAAGACCTTGTTTCCATAATGAATTGAGTTTATGATAATACCCAGAGACTAATGTTCCATTTTGACTTAAATACTTAATTTTCTGATGAAGATTAAATATGACAGACCCATCAACTTTATCATGGGTTTCTTTTAACTCATACCAAACCTTAGAGGGCTCCTTGAAAAACACCTGTCCTAGAAAAAGATCCTCAGTCATGGAACTCAGAATCCAGGAAAGGACAACTGAGTTACATCGAACCCATGGTCTCTCTAAGACATGATCATTTATTAGTCGAGGACAAGATCCTTTAATAAAACCAATTTTATTTTTTTAGTTTCTAAAGCCAATGTCATGGCACAAGCCCAAACTTTGTAATTATCGGTACCACTCAGTTTGACAGTCAGTAAAGGAGTTCTACTACTATCATTGGGATGCAGGTACAATGGATCTCCAAAGTCCATACTGGTAATTTGGATTCCATTGACCTACCAGTATCAATCACAGAACCAGACATAACCACACACAGGAGACTGAATAGATAAAAGCAGGATTTCTAAAACACTTAAAATGTTAGGTCAAGCTAGTTATTCAGCTCCAAACACAAACAAGGAAAAGAAACAACCACAACAGCCTTACCACAAGAATATAAGCACGAAAAGAAAAGAACAATCTTACCACAGGAAGCAAGCACAAGACTAAGAACAGATAAAAATAAGGCAGAGAGCAACTTACCTGAAAAACAGGTCACAACCAAACAACTTTAACCTAGGTGAGAGCCTCTGTGACCACTTAATCATTCTGCACCAAACCATTCAGCAACTGCCAAACAGCCCCTAACAACTTGTAAGAACATTGTTTTAGTGTGGAGTTGGCATTCTCATGAAAGTGGCTGTGTTCTAATGATTTGTGTTTTGGCAGATGCAAATGGAAATTATCCACCCTTGAGAACCAGGTATAATCTTTTCCTTGAAATCTGGCTTGTTTTTTGTTAACATGTATAACTGTAATTAACAAGTCTTCTTCCATTCTTGTTATCTTTTGCAGTTCAGGTGATCCACCCATCCCTTTGCATTATTGCTGAATTCCCTTATTCCATATTTTCTTGAATCCAAGTGCAATCTTTTAAGCTACAATTTCATTTGACTGACCAGGATTATCAGGTGGAGCCATAGGTGGAATAACTGTAGCAGTAGTAGCTGGGATGCTGTTACTTGCAGGATGCTTATATTATGGATTATTAAAGAAAGCACAGATTCAACTTATGCAGGATGTTCAAAGTATTTCTCACTCCTCTTCTACTGCTTATCTGTTTTGAATATTGTAACAGCCCTAATTTTCAGCCAGGTATATAGATATATACATATCTTTATCATAATTTCTTATAAAGTTAAGTTATTTCTATAGACCCTTAATATAAGAACTAAAACAAGGTAAACAACATCTTTTAGTGGAAAAAATATTAATTATAGAGATAAGTAAGCAAGCAAGCACGCAAGTAGCTTACAAAGCTACTTATAAACAAACAACATGAGCCACAAAAATCTTATGACAAAGCAAGCCTAGAGAATGAGTTGTGAGAGGAAAAGAGTTTGTGGCAACCCTAAAAGCATTACAAGGCAAGGCTAGGAAAGAAGATAAGAATGAACCTTAAAGCATGCCATACACCCTATAAATAGAAGCTTAAAGGGCTCATTCTTTTTCATCCCAAGATTTGGAACACAACCTAAAAGCATAATAAGTAAAGACTAAGAAGTGAGTTAGAAATCCCAAAGCAAGATATAAATAAGGTGAGTACGTTATGAGATTTACTGGGATACATACATTATATATATATATATAAATGTTTTATGCATTAAAAGAGTATTGTCATATCTTCTTGTAAAAGTTATGTTATGATTATGTGGCAAAGTACACCTTTTATGTCATGATGCACACGTGGTATATGAAAGCTTTTATACATGTTAAGTATAACCATTTAAACATCCAACGTACAGGATATAGAAAGAAGGTACGTCTTGCAAATGGACCTTATTGGGCAGCCCTTATGTGGACCCGAGGTTAAAGAACCTGTGAGAAGTTGGTTTACTTAACATGTAACCATGAGATCTCAAATAAATGTTTTTATACATGAAAGTTTATAAGAATTATTTTAACTATTTGGAAAGAATGTTTTATCATGAAACCAATACTACTCACTAAGCTTAAAGCTTATGTATTCATGTATGTATCTCAGGAATCAAGGAGTAGGAACAAGATGAAGTGTTGCTATTCTAAGATGTTAGAATATTATAAGTTGTAAATTTCCGCATTTCCGTTGCTGTAATAACTCTACTATAATGAAATAAAAGTTTAAGATATGAAATTTCTTTCATTCACTTGTACTAAGGGCAAAGGACGATACCCCCAGGATGTCACACATATAACCATGGTTTACGATGTGCTTAACTGGTAACGTCCAAACCTTAAAAAAGTCGCCTAAAAACAACCAAACTTTCAGAAGAATGTTTCATTCCAATTTTAACTCGGACATAGGGCAACCAGTTATATTGCATAAATTTCCATTTCAAAATAAAATTTGATTTATAGGTGGATCGTGAATGAAGTTAATTGCATACAAGAGAATAATTAATGTAGTGAATTTCCTGAAAGTACTTATTGATAATGAGTTTCTAAGGGGCTGTTTGACATTTGCTGAATGGTTTGGTGCAGAGTGATTAAGTGGTCCGAATATAATTGTTTGGTAATTGTTTACAATGAAATTAGAGCGTTTCATGGTTGGTGAAGGGAGGTCCAATATACAAAATCATTCAGGGGGTTTTTGAACCATTAAGAGACATAATTTCTTTTTTACCAAACAAGATTCACCTCTTAACAATTCAGAGGCTGCCTCTTAATGGAACTATTAAGAAGTAAACAAACAACCCCTAAGTACTTATTAGTAGTGAGCTTCTTGATACAGATGTTATATATTTTTGCATTCATTCATCATTTTTTTTACAAAAATTATAAATTCTTCTCATTCAACAGAAATTTTATCTCAAGTTCTGAATTTGCTGTTGAAAATCTGTATAGATACAGTTGTTTATATTTTAAAAAAAGTAACCTGAATGACTAAAATAGGAAGTGGAATCAAATATATGGACATAAAGTGAAGGGAGCTGGATTTATTACACGCTTAAAGCGCTTACCAAACGCTTACTCGGGTAAGTGAACACTAAGTTACATTACCTTATCGGATGAATATGGTAAAGACTAAGAATCTTATCCAGTAAGAGCGAGATAAGGACCAAGAGTCTTACCCAGTAAGTGAGGGCAACTACCCTTACCACGGTAAGCATTTACCATGTAAATTGTTGCATGCGATACTGTTTTGGTGGACTAAAATCTTATCCGGTAAGTAAATAATAGTGTTAGACTCTACAGGTAAACGCTCATCTGGTAAGTGTTTAGTAAACAGTCCTAATATCCAAGTATCCAACTATGCTTTCTAAACAAAAAATTGTAACAGGGTCCAAATCAGCCATGAATAGGTTTCCTGGTCAACATTGGTCTAAACAATTTGAATGCATGCTTCCCATATTTTGTCCATGTTATTGGTAACTATAGATTTGTTTCTTTTTATAACTTATTCCCCAATGGTTCTTCAGTTGGAGGTTCAGACTCTAGAGGTCTTCCTGCTGGTGTCTCTCCTCTCTTTACAGGTGTGACAGTTGACAAATCTATGGAGTTCTCATATGAAGAGCTTTCAAAAGCTACAAATGACTTCAGCCTTGCTAATAAGATCGGTCAAGGTGGTTTTGGGGCTGTTTTCTATGCGGAGCTCAGGGGCGAGGTTTGGAACTAGGGTGGTTTTAGATCTTTGCTGCCGCTATAATTATGTGATTTCTGCTGTATATTTTGGTTTGCCATCTGTCTGGGAAAGCTGATATGTGTCTGTGACAAGACAAGACTGACCACCAGCTGTATCCGGTAACCCAATCTTTCTAGAGGTCAAGGGTTGCAAGTTGCAACCTCACCAAAAGGTGAGGCGGTGTGTGTGAGTTACATTTTCCGTATATTTAATATTATTACTTTTAAAAAAATAGGTGGAACAAAAATACGGAGACAAGAAAAGATTGGTAAATTACTAAACCACCCATATCAGTTTGAAACCCTAAAACTTTTCACAGTTCTTTCACCCGTCTATTTCTTTCTCGCCTGTCCGGTCTCGTCCAATCCTCTTCAATCCTGCCTGCATATTGAAAGCACCCTTATTGAGCTCAATTTAGTGTACAAATTTAATTGTACACAACTTTTGATGCTGTGGATACCCTCCCTGTATTAAGTGGCACCTTCTTATGAATATGAGTCCAGCTTTATTCTTGTTATCATGCATCATCTAATGGTTGTATTCTTTTAACCCATAAAAACTGCATCTATTACCCAGTATTATAATGTGATTTTATGTCTGTCTGGCATTTTGTTTTTTCAGTTTTCTAAATCTCATAGCAAACTTCTGCAGAAAGCTGCTATCAAGAAGATGGATATGCAAGCATCAAGAGAATTTCTAGCAGAGATGAAAGTTCTAACGCATGTTCATCACCTGAATCTGGTATGAGGTGTTCTAATTTGAACTTTCACTTTCTTGGTTACGAATATAACAACATGCTGTTCAAGTTGCACCCCTTGTGCAACCTGCAACCCGATATGAAGTAAAAATTTCCACCTTCACTACTCACTATATGAATATGGCTTTGAAAACACATTGGTATTTGTTATGCATATCCTTTAAAAGCAGGACTAGAAACATAGCATCCTAACCTTGAGGCCGGCTCAACCGGCAAATAAGGGTCAAGCTTTGGGGTCCTCCCATAGGTCGCCGATTTGAGTCTCCGGGTCACTGGGATTCTCTTGGCTGTTATCTTCAGGCCAACTAGGATTAGTCGAGGGGCGTCTGGACACCCGTGGTTACCAAATAAACATAACATCCTTACATTGAGGGCTAGCTCAACCTGCAAATAAAAGCCTAAGCCTTTGGGCTCCTCCCCATAGGTCGCTGATTCGAGTCTCCTCAGAGCCACTACGGATTTTGGTGACAGGGCCCAAATAAGATTAGTCAGGGTGTGCGCAAACTGGTCCTGACGCCCATAGTGTACCAAAAAAATCATAGCATCCATTTGTGGTGTTTTATTGTTAGAACCCTTGAGAGATGTCAATTTCGTAGCATTTATATCAATACTTGTAAGATTCTGAGTTGATATATCACCTTCACCTTCAAAATGAAATTATAATGCCATACATTTTGACCCTATCTGATGCAGGTGCGTTTGATAGGATACTGTGTTGAGGGTTCCCTTTTCTTGGTCTACGGGTACATTGAAAATGGAAACTTGAGTCAACATTTACATGGATCAGGTCAATTAAATTTGAATACAAGGACAAATTTCTGATATCAAACACGAGAACTTATGTTCTTTTGTTGTTTGTTTCCAGGAATGGACCCATTACCATGGTCTGCTCGATTGCAGATTGCCCTTGATTCAGCAAGGGGTCTTGAGTATATCCATGAACACACTGTCCCTGTCTATATACATCGTGATATTAAATCAGCAAATATACTGATAGACGAGAACTTCCGTGGAAAGGTTTGCAAACGTTTATATTGTGCTACTTCTTTGATTTTGTTAATTTATTGGACCGTTATAATCCTATTACATTTGTAAACCAAAGTGAAAGATGGTTCTGATTTGTCGCCAACATGTTCACTATAGGTTGCGGATTTCGGTTTAACAAAGCTGATTGAACTTGGAAGTTCATCTTTGCGCACACGTCTTGTGGGTACATTCGGATATATGCCACCGGAGTAAAACTTCTTCTAATATAATCACTTGGCAGATGGTTAATCATGTGTTTTTACCTGTTACGAATCCCACATCAGCTAGACTTCGACCATTTCTCCTCCATATATACTGGAACCTTTCTACTCTCTTGAAGGGCTTTTTTGGAGACTAATCTAATGAGGTTCCACATATTCTCACATGCTATCAGAGTCAAGGCCTACCACTTTAAGCACAAGACCCTCATCTTTACTAGTCTAGCCCTCTTTTGACTCACTGGGACAACTTGTGCCCGTCTAGCCTCTATTGGAGGGGTGTGGTAGAGTCCCACAGCGGCTAGACTTGGATCATTTCTCCTCCGTATATCTTTGAACCTCCCTTTTATCGTCAAGAGCTCCTTTCAAGAATAATCTAATGGGTTTTTTTTTTATATATTCTCGCCTTCCCATATATGTTGGAACGTCCCTTCCATCGTCAAGGACTCCATTGGAGAGTAATCTAATGGGGTTTCATATATTCTCTCCTAAAGGGCTCTTTTGGTATCAAAGGTTTTATATATTCTCACATGGTATCAGAGCCAAGGCCTACCACTTTAAGCACAAAACCCTCAATCTTTACTAGTCTAGCCCCCTTTTGACTGACTGGGACAATTTGTGCCCGTCTAGCCTCTGTTGGAGGGGGTGTGGTAGAGTCCCTCAGCGGCTAGACTTGGATCATTTCTCCTCCATATATATTTGAACCTCCCTTTTATCCTCAAGAGCTCCTTTCAAGAGTAATCTAATGGTTTTTTTTATATTCTCGCCTTCCTATATATGTTGGAACGCCCCTTCCATCCTCAAGGACTCCATTGGAGACTAATCTAATGGGGTTTCATATATTCTCGGCCATATGCCAATAGTTGTATGTGGGTTCATAAAATCCTACGTCAAAGTTGTAGATGGTGCCTTTTGAGTGCACCCGTTTTTGCTTGAAGATTTTTTATGGACCTGTAGATCAAACTAGACGATGCTTAGGTTTGTTTGGGAGATTTTGGTCGCTGATCAAGTTTTCTAATACTCTGTGCAGGTATGCGCGAAATGGGACTGTTTCTCCAAAGGTAGATGTCTATGCATTTGGGGTTGTACTTTATGAACTTATTTCGGCCAAGGAAGCCGTAATCAGAGCAAATGGCTCCGATGCTGAAGCTAAGGGCCTAGTTGCATTGGTGAGTTTAATTACTCACATTTTTAGCTAATTGTGTATATGCTTTGCATAAGATGCGATTGGCTAGCTTATTAGAGTATCGTCAACAGTTTCTCTATAATTTAAAATGGACAGAAAAATAAAAATCTTCAAAAAAACTATATATCCAACTTCAACGGTTTCTTCATTTTGGAGATTCCAACGTTAATTTTATTATTAAAATATTTAATGTATTTAATACTCTGATAAACATCCAACATTAAAAAATATCTCTAGAAATCCCCATTTTCTCCATTTTGGATTATCTATTGGAGATGCTCTTAGCTATCAACTAATGGATTCGACCTTCGATGGTTTACAGTTTGATGAAGTTCTTAGTCAGCCAGATCCAGAAGCCGACATGGTCAAACTGATTGATCCTAGGCTTGGGGATAGCTACCCTCTTGATTCAGTTCGTAAGGTAAGTCTTTTGTGCTTAAAAACATCATTTAGGTGCATCGTAAACTTTTCTTTGTCAAGATAACCAATGGCAGATGCTCATTTTGTCCATTGAAAAATGGATGGACCATCAGTTGATAACCCATTCCATTAGTTGATAACCCGTAAGCAAGTGCATAGTCCCCGGTAGGGGCGCTGCCCCTAGGACTTGCAAGGGGCGTGTCACCCTTGGCCCCCGCCAGATGGCGTCATCTTGGGATCATGGGTTCTAGCTAGCTTATATGAGTGTGTACTTTGTACCTCCTAACTCGTGTTATAGCTTAACCTATCAACTCTGTTATTCTCATGTGAATCCAATCACACAAAATAGGCTAATGGTTCACTAAAATCACTAACCAAATATCCCTAACATTTTCCATTTTTTTGAATGTCCAAAAAGTTATAACATTGCGTTTTTGGCAAATTTCTAATCTAGAATGACCTGTATGTCGACTGTCATTATAACTCTTTTAAATCTACCAGATGGCTTCCGGCGACTTTTCACGCAACTTAAGTTGCGTGGCAAGTCCTTGGACGCGGATTTTGGCGCGACTAAACTTGCGTATAAACCTTCCCGGGTCGCGCACAAACCCGCATAGGTATTTAACTCTTGTGTAAACCCATATGGTTCTACATGCCAAGCTCGTGTGGTTTTACTTGGTAAACCCGTGCTATTCTACCAAACCACATCATTTGGATTCATAAAATCCAGGGTGTTATAGAGCCCCCATCAAATTACTCTCCAAAAGAGCCCAGAAGAGAGAAGGGGGTTCCAACATATTCAAGGAGGAGAAATGGTCCAAATCTAATTTATGTGTGAATCCAACACTACCTATTACAAAAGCAGCACACAAATAACATTTGACGGGTATGTATAATGAAATTTATGAATACTCGGTTGTTGCAGATGGCTCAACTTGCCAAAGCGTGCACACGCGATAATCCACGACTACGACCAAGCATGAGGTCCATTGTGGTTGCACTAATGACCCTCTCATCCACCACTGAAAACTGGGATGCCGGCTCCTTTTCTGGAAACCAGACTCTTGTCAGCCTCATGCCCCACAGATAGTCACCACAAATTGCCATCACTAATTCACTATGTCTAAACTACATTATAAAGCATTTACCCAACACTCTTTAACATTTTTTGCAATATGTACTACTAATTTATGCCTGAAATGATGGGATCTTTTATTTACATTTTATTATGCATGATGTACAAGTAAGGAATGCATAGAACTTTATATTTGCAGGGTTTTTTTTTTGAAGTATATAATATTATATAACACAAATGCAACAAATAAACTCAAACACCCTCCTCACATTTGGTGAGGTTTGAACTCCTGACCTCACCTCCTAGGAGGCCAAGGCTACAATACTGCTAGGCCAAACGCCCTTTGGTTATATTTGCAGATTTGACTTCACTTCATACTCAGCAGCTTTTACTTTCATGACTTAGTGTTGGGCACTTATGATCGCATTACCTAGCCTATTTGAGACACGAAAGAGAGGTTTCTCTTTGATTTCTATGCATGTAGTATTTCAGTATTAAGTTGCTCTCTCTTCTATTCGTTAACTCAGATATCTGCTTTTCATTGACTAGGTGATATACAAGTGCTCCTTGGTTTTGACCTTCTGAATCTCGTATCAACTTATTAACATGACAACTTGAAACCACAAGGGTGGTGCCTGATTGGTTTGAGCTTGGCTCCAAAGGTTAAAAGTACCAGGAGGTCCTAGGTTCAAAACCAAGGAGGAATAAAAATCCCCTTGCGGCCACGGAGGTTCAAATGCGGTGACTCCGGGCTATCTGCAAAGCAAGTGGTCGCCCTGGGATTAGTCGGCTCGCATAGCGGGTTGGATATCCAGGTTAATAAAAAAAAAACATGGCAACTTGGTTCGTTAAATTCTATGTTCTTGTTTCTTGTGCCAATCTTATTTCCATGAAACTCCATGTACTTAATGAGATTTGGATTTGGATCTTTGATTGTTTCATGTGCCATTACTTTGATTTGAATACTTCTCCTTTGTCATAGGTTTTGAGGGCACTTTAAAATGTAGAAAGCTCCCGTCTTTGTTCGTTTTGCAGGTCACTGTTTTAAAGTCCCACTTGGTGTTTGATCTTAATAGCTATTCAGCATGTCTGGATTCTATTTTGGAAGCTGCTGCTGCTGCTGCTGCTCACTGTGCTTACTGCTGCGGGATTTTCAGGTATATAACCTTAAATGAGATTTTAGTTAAATTCCATACTCTTATAAATCTTGTAAATATATTGTTTGTTCTATAAAGAATTTGTCTGTTTGGAGGCGATTGAGAGATTATGGCAGCTCTTATGAAAGAGGCGGTGTGGTAACAACTGAAATGCACGAGATTTGGATTTGAAATGACAGTCATTAACCACAAGGGTGGTGCCTGATTGGTTTGAGCTTGGCTCCAAAGGTCAAAAGTACCACGAGGTCTCAGGTTCAAATCCAAGGAGAAATAAAAATCCCCTTGTGGTCACGGAGGTTCAAATGCGGTGACTCCAGGCTATCTGCAAAGCAGGTGGTCGCTCTGGGATTAGTCGGCTCGCATAGCGGGTTGGATATCCAGGTTAATAAAAAAAAAATGATAGTCATCTCCATTGATTTCAAATCCAAACTTTCCTTCAAACCAAATTTAATTTCAAATCCCCCCAAATCCTATCAAACGGGCCCTAAGGTTTAAGGTGGCCTCAGTTATGGATCTTATGCCTTTTTGTACACGACAAGTGCCTAATGGATCTCGTTAATTTAACATTCATATCGACTTGTGGCTTTCAAGATAACTGATAGCTTGGAAGCGTCATTTAGGAACATCATGAACTTCTGTTTTTCAAGGTAACCGATAGCGAATACTCATTTTGTCCCATGAAAATGCCTACAATTTCCATTTGCGACGCCCATATATGGCAAAATTTTAATCTAGAATGATTTAACTTCTTGTTGATGGGCATGTTAGATATTAGACCGATCATCATAACACTATCATTAAAGCTAGCCATTTACCGACACCTACACGTGAGTGTGTGATCTTAAGGTTTGTAGTAAACGTTTATAGTGAGCATAGCAAGGATTGAGAATCTTTCCTGGTGATATAGCAAAGGACAAAGATTTTTATATGGTAAATGAGGGGTGATGAGTTTTACCTGGTTACCGGGTAAGAGACGTATACCAACAATCTATTTTGATGGCTGAGAATGTTACCTGATACGGTAAGTGAGGGTGGTGACTCTCACTAGTAAGTGTTTACTCGGTATGCATTTTGTAAACGACCCTTTAGTCAGTATAGTGAGATTCCATAGTCCACTAATACACTGCACATGTGTCCTACTTGTAAGATATGTGGAACCCATCAAATTACTTTCTAAAAGGGTACTTGAGGAGAGTTGGAGAGTTTCAACATGTAACGAGGTTGAGTGGTCAAAATATAGCCAACATTTGATTCCAACACCACTCTCTCTAATGGAGGCTAGAAGGGTACAGATTTACAGAGGGTCGAGTTTTAAGAGTGGTAGACATTGACTTTGATATCACATGAGATAAGTGGAATCCTATCAAAAAGAGCACTTGATGGGAGAAGAAGGTTCCAATATATATCGAGTAAAAAAGGTCCAACATCGACTATTTGAAACCAGTGCACAAATAACACTTGATGAGTATGTGTAATGAAATTTGTGAACTCAGCTGTTGCAGACGGCTCAAACTTTCGAAAGCTTGCACACACGAGAATCACCAATTACGGTCAAGCATGAGATGGATCGTGGTTGCACTGATGAACCTCTTGTTGATTATTGTGTTAAATACTTTTTTCATAGTTCTATAAATATTTTAGACGTATCATATTGAAAAAGAATACGTAAGATCTACAATAGACGACTTTACTGAAGTTTTTTTAAAGTCCGTTTAGTCTGATCAAATGTTTTTCAGATGTTTGGATTTCATAGATATGGAATATTTGGTGAATTTGGTTTGTAAAATTTATAATAAAATTGAATTCCCTTTGTTATAAATAATTCATAAAAACAAGTTATAAATAATTATTAAAAAAAATTAAACTGTCTTTTCTTAATTGATTATTCTAAAAAAATGTTTTTTTATCATATTTTAAAATACTTTATAAATAAATCCTATAAACAATGTTTTTTAATCATATTTTTATAAAAAAAAATTAATTATATTTTTAATACTATTTAAAAAAAATTCGTGATTAAATTTAGTGTTTGTGGAAACTTATTGAGTTCTCGAATTTGAGAAGAGAAGAAATGAAAAGAAACGAAATGAATGAATTTTCTTTATTTTTGTAATTCAGATGGACGGAAAAAAAAAAGGAAATGAAAGGATTTGAGAAGTAGAAAAAAGAAAGAAAAAATGTCACTTTTACAAACATACCCTTATTTATTTTTTGGGAAAAGTCTAAAAAAACTCAATGAAATTTAGTGTTTGAAATGATTAAGTCGTTGGACAATTTTTTAAAACAAATAAATCTTTTGACATTCCAAAACATTTTAAATAACTTTTTGGACTTTCTAAAACCTGTTAAATACATCCTTATAACCTATACAACTGGTTAATGTGGTAAAATAATGGAAAAAGTTCGAAAAAAGATAATGAACATTCATATTTCAAACGATTAAGTCCTTATACATTTTTTGAACCAAAAAGTATTTAGATCTATAAAATTAAACAAATATAACAAAAAAATACTTACATTTACAAAAAAAAAATAACTACATTTAGAAAAGAATTTTGAAAAAAAGCCAAAAAAGATTTTTGAAAAAAAAACATGAAAAAATGTCAATAAACATTTATAGTTTGAGCGATAAAGTCCCTAAATATTTTTTGAACAAAAAATTATTTATATTATATAAAATAAAACAAATATACCAAAAAAATACTTACATTTAAAAAAAAATTATTGATAAAATTTATTTTAATTAAAAATAAAAGATTTTATGTTAGTGATTTTTCAAATTAAAAAAGATTTAAAAAAGATTACTAATTATATTTATTTTTAATTAAAAATAAAATATATTTCGTCTATGATTTTTTAAATTAAAAAATATAAAAAAAAGTTTAAAATAATTATTGATGAAATTTATTTTAATTAAAAATAAAAATATATTTTATTTTTAATTAAAATAAATTTAATCAGTAATTCTTTTAATTTTTTTTAGTTTGAAAAATCACTGACAAAATATATTTTAATTTTAATTAAAATAAATTTTTCAAAAATCTTTTTTAAATGTAATTATTTTTTTGTAAATGTAAGTACTTTTTTGTTATATTTGTGTAATTTTATAGATCTAAATATTTTTTGGTTCAAAAAATGTTTATTGACTTAATCGTTCAAAATATGAATATTCATTGGGATTTTTTGGACTTTTTCCAATATTTTACCACATTAACCAGTTGTATAGGTCATAAGAATATACCTAACAGGTTTTAGAAAGTTCAAGAAGTTATTTAACACGTTTTGGAATGTCCAAAGATTTATTTGTTTCAAAAAATTATCTAAAAACTTAATCATTCCAAACACTAAAGTTCATTGGGTTTTTTAGACTTTTCCCTTAGTTTTATAAGTCATAAGAATGTATATAATATATTTTAGAAAGTCCAAGGAGTTGTTTAACAGGTTTTAGATAGTCCAAGAACTTATTTGTTCCAAAAAATTGTTCAATAACTTAATCATTCCAAACACTAAAGTCCATTAGATTTTTTTAGACTTTTCCCTTATTTTTTCAATCAAGTTGTAATTGACAGGTCAATATGTAATTTTATAAATGCTTATAATTACAATTATTTTCTTTTCTTTCCTTCCATATTTAGGAAAAAAGATCGAAAGAAAAATCAACATTATTTTCCTCTTCGTTCTTTTTCTTCCCTTAAAAGTAAGAATTGTGATTTGTCTTGACCCGGTGGGGAACCCGACTCACCTGACCCGGATGAAGACGGGGATTCCCCAAACGGGGGCTGGGGGCTGTTACTCAAACCGGGGTTGGGCAAGGCCAGAGATTTTCGGTAGACTCAACTAACGGATATTCTTCATGGGGTTTGACCAAGACTATGACAGGGATTTGACTGAGACCCGGGCTGTTACTAAAAACCAGGTTCGAGATCGGGGATTATAAAACCCATCCCATCCCCGCC